TTCAGGAACTTCAGTCTCCCCGAGGACATTGTTTCGGACCGAGGACCACAATTCATCTCCAGGGTCTGGCGAGGGTTCTTCCGCCTCCTGGGAGCATCCGTCAGTTTGTCCTCGGGATACCACCCACAGACCAATGGCCAGACCGAGCGGAAGATCCAAGAGATTGGATGGTATCTCCAGGCCTACTGTCATGACCATCAAGACAGCTGGAGTCAGTACCTACCCTGGGCCAAGTACGCCCAGAATTCCTTATGCCAGGAAACCACCGGACTCACCCCATTCCAATGTGTGCTCGGTTACCTTGGACCGAGGATCACTCAGAAGTCCCAGCGGTAGATCACTGGTTCCGTGAGAGCGAGAGGGTATGGGACTCAGCACATATCCATCTCCAGCAGGCCGTCCGGAGGCACCAGGCCAACGCAGACACTCGTCGGTCTGACAATCCCCTCTATGAGCCAGGGGACCAAGTCTGGTTGTCCACCCGGGACATCCACCTCCAGTGGCCCAGTAAGAAGCTGAGTCCCCGGCACATAGGTCCTTTCCCCATAGCAAGGCGCATCAACAATGTCACGTACCGGTTACACCTGCCTGCCCATTATCGGATCTCCCCCACCTTTCATGTGTCCTTGCTAAAGCCCTTCACTAATCCTCTTCTCCCTCCCTCCACAGAACACGAGGTACCCCCCCTCCGCCCGAGGTCGTCCCCGACGAGGTCATCTACCGAGTCAGGGAGATCCTCGAATCCCGGCGGCGAGGCGGCCGGCTTCAATATCTTATAGACTGGGAGGGGTACGGTCCTGAGGAGAGGTCATGGGCAGACAGAGAGGACATACTGGACCCATCTCTCCTCAACGACTTCCACCAGGCTCATCCAGACCGCCCTGCTCCCAGAGGCTGCGGTCGTCCTCGCCATCAATCTCTGGCGTCGGGAGACGCCCGTTGGGGGCTGGGGGTAATGTCATGGAAACACCTGCCTCACCAGCCGAATCAGCCTCCTACACCCGCTCACAATCACCTGATTACTGATCACGGACACCTGCACCCACTTACCACACCACTCAAATACTCACTCACCTCATTCACTCATCGGCTGGTCACAAGGTTGCAAGCTAATCTGTCCTGGTTCCCCGTCTTCCAGTCTGCCTGTTTCCCTCGGAATCCTCAGTTCTCGGCCGAATGATCAGAGTGCCGACCCAGTTAAGACTGTGTTTTCCTTCCCTTACTGCCTATGTTGAACTCTTTTTGGTTAGAAGCCTCTATTAAGTTCCTGTGATTAAACTCTCTGCTTAACGTTATCCTGCCTGTCTGCCTCTTTGTCCCGGTCGTGACAGGTGGACATTCCTGCAGTCAGCATGCCAACTGCACGCTCCCTCAAAACTTGCGACATTTGTGGCATTGTGCTGTATGATAAAACTGCTCATTTTAGAGTGGCCTTTTATTGTGGCCAGCCTAAGGCACACCTGTGCAATAATCATACTGTCTAATCAGCATCTTGATATGCCACAGCTGTGAGGTGGATGGATTATCTCGGCAAAGGAGAAGTGCTCACTAACACAGATTTAGACAGATTTGTGAACAAAATTTGAAAGAAATAGGCCTTTTGTGTACATAGAAAAGTCTTAGATCTTTCAGTTCAGCTCATGAAAAATGGGGGCAAAAACAAAAGTATTGCGTTTATAATTTTGTTCAGTGTATATCAAAACTTAATTTTTGATTAGTAATATGCATCGCTAAGAACTTCATTTGGACTTTAAAGATGATTTTCTCAATATTTAGATTTTTTTGCACCCTCAGATTCCAGAATTTCAAATAGTTTTTGTACAGAGCAGCTTTCAGTTCACACACACTTGCTAAGCCTGCTCCGTCCTGATGGCTTTCTTGATTTCTTTTTGTTTCAAATGTCAAATTTGGTAATGTCTCTCTGCAGGTCAGTCAGTGACCGTACTCCGTTGTTCCGTAGTCTTCGTTCATCAAACATTTTCTCATTCTATAACTCTAAAGTCAAACCTCACACAGTTTGTTATTCCTTCACGTCTTTGTAGAGGCTCACTTTGGGTGTTTTTGTGTGATTTTTAGGTCTATTCCTTTGTCCAGCAGGCTGTAATCGTAAGTGTGTTTGCACAATTTCACGTCGGATAAAAATCTGTTTATGAATTGAATTAAGACATTGAATAATTTTTATTTCAGTCAGACTCAGGCAGTTCAGAGGAAGGAGCCACAGCTCAGGTAAAAACACACACACACACACACACACACACATACACACTCTCTCTCTCTCTCTCTCACACAGTC